CATCCCATGGGTGAGAGTAAGAAAAGCTCCATTTTATTTTTTTAATGTATAGACGTACTTTGTTTATATCTGTATTTTTGATTCCTCTAATATGTTAAAATACCTCACTACACTGTCCTTTTGCTTTAGCTAACCTTAAAATATTAACTAAAACATTGCATCTCAAACCTACATTTGTATGCGACTAGTGTTCCTTCCCAACATTCTTGTTCCGAAGCCTTCAAGCTTGTGGCACAGTATGTTTTCTATAATCCCATTTCTTTTTTAATCACATGCAACCCCTTTTTTGTATTCTATTGATGTTAAAAAGAATGAATGCAGCCCTTGCCCTATTAAAAACAAAAAGCTTCTTACTTTCAGGAATGCATTGGCAAGACTCCACAAGAACAAGATTTAACTTTTGAGCATGGCAGTGGGCATACAAGGCTAATGGGTGGTCCTTAAAAAAAAAGAAAAAGAAAACCCCCTGTAATTTATTCAATAGTACATTAATATTATCTTTTACCTTATGGTTGATTAAATTCTTGCAAAACGCTCAATGTGCAAGTTACAATACATATGAGAAATATGGAAGTGGTGTTTGGCTTTTACAAATTGTCATTTAAATATCTATTTAAATCACACAATTCCTGTTACTATGTGAGGATGTCTTATAATTCATTGGCCAAACCTGAAATGCATTTGTTTTTCCTGTATGTGAGAAAGGATTCACAAAAACATGTTACAGAATGAGTCAGTCTATTTTAAAAGCCACTCAGACCAACTGTGCCCTTAGACAAAGAAAGAATGATTATAACCATTTTACTCAAATAATCAAAATCCAGATCCATTTTAGCAGAAGTGTCTTTCCTTATTTTTCACACTAAATAGAAAAAAGCAAACCTTCCAAATACAGGGTGGGGGTTTTTTGTAGCCTTTTTTTCTGTATCTATAAACCTTGTTTTGTTCCACCTTGTGAATGATGTCACCCCTTTATTTAGATGACTTAATATGCTACTTAACTTGCCCTGTAGTCCAAGAGCAGCTATGGGAATAACATTGTTCTGGTAGCTACTTCCCCATTTGAAAAACCTCTTAAAGCTGTTATCCATCTGCATTTTGCTCATCGTGTGTGAAACATCTCTACAGAAAACAGTAAGCTCTCTGTTTCTTACAGTTATATGCCAGACTACAAACCAATTTATACTCCAGTAGAATTAACCCTTCCTTTAATTTCTCATCTCCATCTGGGGAGATTTTTGCAAAGGTTTTTTGGGGTCTTGGTTGTTTTGGGGGAATTTTTTTAGTTTTTTAAATCATAAGCTGTAAAAAGCAATTTGGTATGATAGCTTAAAAGAATTACCCATTTCTATTTCCTGGATGTCTGGGTGGAGAATTTTATGTTTTTAAAAAATTACTGACTTGGTCTGTGATAACTATCTACCTGTTTATTATTTGAAGATGATTGGTGAAATTATCATGATTGAGGGTTAAATATCAGTTTCTAAAAAAAGTTACAAATTTGGGAGTTTTATTCTAGTTCAAATTATGTTAATTCTCAGTCTCATTTCTTATGATTCACAAACAAGTTGGTACTTTTATCTAAGAGACTTAGGGCAAGTGAGAATATTTTCCCAAATGCAGTGTCTCAACATCATTGCAGGTTTCCTCCACAATATAAACTTGATTTAGTTTGTCTTGTAACAAAATTGGTTTTTATCTCTAATTATAGTCACTTCCATTTGGCATTCCTTTTTTGTGGGAAGAAGCTAAACTGGCACTAAATGAAGTCTGATCACAAGTATCTCAGCATGGACAAAAACCATTGGTTTAGTCCATTCTTCTCACAAGTCATTGCTCTCATTGTAGGAAGCTCCAGAAGCCAAAGAAATATAAAACATATAGTTACACCCTACTGCAGGTGGTTTCATGGGGCATACAAAATGAAACTAGCACTCTTCTCAGGCTAAGGTAACCTACACAATAGCCAACCTAATAGCCATAGACCTGTTCACTCTAACTCTCAAATAACGAGAGAGAGCACTAATGATCTATGGCAAGAAAATGTAATCCTAGAAGCAAGAGCATCCAAAACTTATACACTATTTTAGTGAAGAAATAGGGTGGAATTTCAATAAGAATATTTGTCCTTTCCAGGTGATATACTAAATATTAAGCCAAATTAATTAAAGCTAGCACTGAAAAACTCCTTCAATTGTTTAAATAAATGCCTCTCAGAAAAGCTCCAATATACCCAAGAAAGCAGGAAAACTTCGGAAGGAGGTGTCATAGAAGGTAAATTGAGTGGAGAGTAATGAGAGCAAAGCATTTAAAAAATAATACAGCAAGGTTGAAAGAAATAAATTATGCAAATGCATGAGTAAAGTTCAACTTTTTTTCTGAGCCAAGACACATTTCCTAATATTTGGAACTTTGCCAATTAAATTTCAAGTAAAAAGTTGTATTTCTCCTAATGACAGTCAAAATAGCTTCAGCAAACCTAATCTGAATTGACAAACCCTATTATCTATACAACACCACTGCCATTAATAACTCAATTCATTTCAAATCACCTTTTACAACTGAAAAATGAGTAACATTAAGAAGAAAAACACCTGTTTAATTGTAACCAAAAGCATGCATATAACCAACAGCTCTTATTGACTTCTTTTTAAATTGTATTCAAACATGTCTACAACCACATCACACAGTATTCATATATACACTGTACAGTACACCAGACTACTTGGGAAATGGAATATGAAAACATAAAAGTATAATTTCTAAAACAAATTAATACTCTAATAGGTTCTGTATTATGACCTTACATTAAATATCAGCCTTTGTCATAACAACGGAAACAAAGGCCAACACTGAGAAACTGAATTGGTGAGACGGTCCAAACACTCAGACTCTACTTTTATAGCACAGTATTTTCAATGGCTATATCACTGACTGACAAACAATCTAATTGCTCTTGAAATCAAACAGGAAACAAACTGTCTCCATGTCTTCGAAGCTACTTGTTTTATGCATCTGTCTGTACCCCCCACTTCATCTGCTTCAAGAAGGCTCCAGACTAAACCCCTGTGAAGGTACTGAAGAGAGAGCTAATTCCAGTAATAAGTGTCTTGAAGAGAGGAAAGGTATCCTCAGTAAGAAAGAAGGAATGTTACAAAGGAATGGATAGACTTTATCAACTTGAAGAAAAAAAATACTAGTTTCCTCACTAGTGAATACAACAGAAATACCCACTTGTCTCTTTTGACTTCCCTTGCTCCTGAAGAGGTGGTATATTTTTTTAATTTCTCCAAAGTTTATAGAAACTGCTAAATTGCAATAAGAGTAAAAAGAATCACAGTCATGACGGTATCACCCAGTTCCTCACTTATTTCCTTAAACATGGTAGGGAAATAATTGAAGGTGCACCAGCAAAATAAAGCATTGTTTTGCATTCTCTGATAAGTGAAGTGACAAAAGGGATTTTGTGAGATCTTTCTCTCCCAGCTCATATTTTAGAGGGCAGAATCAATCGTATATTACATGCAGTTAAAGAACAATACTAATAGCCAAGGTTGCTAGGTTTGGCTCAAGATCTGAGCACTTTGTTCCCTGGTGTGCAGGACTGAGAGAATATATAGTATCTTGGCACCTGCTGTCAGCAGCTACTTAAAGGGAATTCAAAATTTAATTAACCTTCATAGTAATCCATAAAAGTTGTTATGTAAGTTCAGAACTTCAGAATTTAGAGAACCTAAGGTTTCTATATTCTTTACCTCTTACTTCTTAATCCATGGACAACAGATGCCAGGTGAAATAATGTGCCACGCTTTCATGTAAGTAGTTGTTTGGAAACATTTTAAAACATAAGCAATTTGTTTGTATGAATTGGGAAGAATACCATGACACACGTTTGCTCTTTTCTTAAAGCATAAGGCCACACTGCTGATGAGCAAAAGTCTCTAGAATTACAAGGCCATCCAGTCACTGCTGCTGTGACAGTACTGTGAGGTGAAGTTCCCTGAGGCTCCACACCCCTACTAGACAAGATATTGCACCAGTGATTCAGTTTTGCCTCCCGTAGTTGTACTTCCAGAGCATCAGAAAATGTCTTGAAGCCCCTCTGTCTACATTAGAGCTTTAGAAAAGTAATAATTTATGAGCAAAATGGGGAAAAAAGTAGAAAAAAGTAGGGTGGCATATGGCCAAACTTTTGACTTAATTTCACCACAGGTTGCTTTTTATTTACAAGGGGCTAATCCGCTCTCAAACTACACAATAGAGCAGCCATTGGCAAAGGCAGGCAGATAAAATTGGCATGCCTCTATATTGTTCTTGTTAATCTGAACCATTAACAGAAGGGTGAGAAGGCTAGTTTTGTCATTTAAACAGGCTTAAATCCCTTCTCCAAATGAGCTTTTGTCTACATAGAAGAATTCATCCAGGAAATTTGAGGGGTTTTTGTTAGTGTTGCATTCTTGAGTTGACTAAGCTACAGGAATACTAACCTGCTTATTTGGTCTTCATACTGTAAATGCAAAAATTATTGCCAGCTGTCAAAACCAAAAGGAGTTCAACCTGACTAAATTATTTCTCAGTGGTGAAACAGGATGAGATTATAAAGTGCTAAGAAGCAACTATTTGAAATCCTGAACTGCACCTGTGCAACTAAATCTCCATTTATACAGGTGCTTTTCAAATTGGATTTGAACCCTCAAATTCCCTGATTCATCCCCTGAAAAACCACAGAAGATCAAATAACAAATGAAATTCAGAGACGGAAGGGCTCAAAATAGTTTCAAGCTGTGAAGCAAGGCCTAAGACTATGTCGATGTGACATATCAAGCATAAACATAAGTTGCACAATTCAAATGCCAGAGGTCACAGGGTAGACAGTAGCTAAGTAATTTTTTTTTTTAGCACAGGAAAGGTCATCACCTGGTCCATAAGCACAAAACACAACAAAATACCTAGATAAGAAAAGTATTAGTTGGCATGATCTGGTTTTGTTTCGATTTTACCTGGCACATCTTGCACATATATTCAATGTGACCTTTGCTTGAGGCTCAGCCGTATGAGCACTTCGAGTTTGATTGAATTTGCTCCCAGAAGACACCACACTTGTTACTCCTTCCATTCTGAGATCATCAAGATCCTCTGCAACAGGACAGAACAATGGGATAAACACGTGATTAAATTTTGTAGCAATAAAGAAGCCTTACCTGTAGAATCACTAAAAAATGGAACTGCTCAAAAATGGGGAAGAAAACAGTTACTTGCATACTAACAGGAAAAGATATTCAAGAGCATTTTTATTTTTATATATTATCACCATCTTATAGGGGGTTCCTTCAAAAATATTCAGTATCATTTCCACATCAAACCATGCTGCATATTTTTAAACTCTTTATTTATCTGGTTCATTTCTTAAAAACTTGTCATCAAGAGATGCTGTCCAATAGCTCTATTTGACACTGGACATATTGAAAACAAAAATACTTTTTAAATGTATGCTATTCTTCTGTGTTTTTTTCATCATCTGTTCATTTAGCAGTGAAAAAATATTGCTAAAATAAGTGTTCTGCTAAACCCACAAAATATGAAATGGACATATATATCACAGTGAAAGGGACCATAATGTGCATACTTAAATCTACCATACTCCTGTAATATGGGAAACTCACAATAAAAACTGAATTTTCAATGATTATAAAATCATTCACATTTTGAAGGGAGACAGAAGAGGGTCTCAGAGAATTTTTTTTCCCAAGATGACACTGCAATGGTATAGCTCAGCTGGACTGTAAATGAATTATTTTGGTTTACAGGCCATTCTTTTGGGGTTAATCTCTATATTTTTTGCTAACACAAAACACAAAATATTTTTTGCTAACACAAGTTCTCTATGCCTCATGTATCTATAAAGCCCAATTTTCAGTTGTTTATAACTTGATTATTCTCTAGCTGAAATGCAAACAAGCAAAGCACTGGCTAGCTTCTATTAAATTATCATAGACTGACCATGTAACCATTCCATGTACTGACTGATGCATGTGGTGTATGGTACACAGTATGTCATCATCTGATTAAAATGTCTTTCAGATATTCTATACACATGTATTTTCATATATTTACATTTACAAAACAAACCTAATGTTAAAGGATCTGAATGAAGCACGAAGTACAAAAAGATTTCAAATCCCAATATCAGATGGAGAAAAGTCACAGAGAACTTTAAATTCAGAGGAGACTAATCAATTTAATTAATTAGAATTTGAAATACACAAGTAGTCATTATAGACACACAGTGGAGAACCAAGCTGGAGATACAACCCCCCAAATCTCTACCCAAAATACTTCTGGTTGTCCTCTATAGTTCATAGACCTCACTCCTACCAGTGTGCTTTAAAGTCAGGGCAATGTGGTCAGATTATCAGGATTATGTCCTGTTAACAACACTCTTTTGGGGAGACAGGGATTTTAATAAGCAACAGTCAATAACAGCTAGGCTAAACTCATACGAAAATTTTTTGACCAAAGTCCTTGAACCACATTTTCTTCTCTGCAATGTTTTATTTTACTGCTTAAAAAAACTCTCCTCCCCACCACCACCCCCCGCAGCCAATTTGTTGCCTTGATATAAACTGACAAGTTACTGAAGTTTCTGGCAACATTTACACCATTTCAACACCCTTTCCTTTAAATTTCATGTATGGTTAATACACAAACTAATTCAAAGGACCTGGAAGGTTATATGATAGAGAGCTATGAAATCAACCACCTATGAGTCATTTCAGAAAAGGTATTACATATTTGGAACACATTATGTATTAAAATAAATACAGTTTAATTGTGCTTTAAAGAGGTGTGAAAAGTTCCATACTTTTTAACAGATGTAAACCACTGGATGAATTACAGTTTAAAAGAAATTGAAGCATATGCTTCAGGTTTTTCTCCCACTAAGCAGACGTGATTTCTTTAAATAAGATTTTCAGCTGTTCTCTGCTTGATTAACTTTTGGCTCTCTGATGACTAAGTGTTTCAGCAAAGCAATGATATAGGCTGCCCTCCATGATACCTTTTATATTTTAATTTGGATATCAAACCCATGCCTTTTTGTCATTTTTAGTCAACTAACACCCTTTTTCTCTCAAAAGAAAATTAAGTGAAACTTTGTGCTAAAAATATGGATTTGAGAGCTGCCTGTAGTAGTAGCCAACAGACAAGAAGGCAGAATAGTATGCAATATTAATTTATTGTCAGATGCTGTTGGAATAACAGCAGTAATGTGCATACAAAATGCAGATTTGAAGTACCAAAAACCTACCTCATAAACAACTGCTATTTTTCTCAAGGTATTGTAGTTGATCTAATTCAACATTGGATGGAATTTGTCCATGGCAAATTACAAAAAGCTGTTAATAATACAAGCAAAGAGGGTAATCCAAAGAGTAACTGCAGCATTTGATTTAATTTCATTACTGCACCTCTACATGAGCATGGAATGCTTTCAGTTTCTTCTCTGGATACTTCAGATTTACAGTACAGATACTGAGCATTTTCTCACTAAAGCAACTGGGCTTTGAGAAACTGCCTGTTTTGTAATACCCATAACTTTGGATGAGAATTTTTGAGTTTGTAAGCAAGTTTATATGCCATCTTCCAGATAAACCCCATTAATTATTGAAGATTTTTAATTTAAATAACCCAATACAACAAAATGACAAAACCTAGCAGCAGTAAAACAACAAATCATACAGAAATTTTAGTGCTAAACTCTTGAGTTTATGTGTGCATATTGTTCAATAATTCATGCATGCTTTGCAGAAAAATATTTGCTCACAAATAACAAAGTTATTAAAATAGTTACAACCAGTGAATGCAATAGTCCTTTTAAAAAGAGCTTCAAAGGTTCAGATACTTCTATCGGAAAGAACCAGTCTTAGCAAAATAGGATTTCATTAGAGAGCCAATTCAGTTATAGGTTCTGGACACTGAATCTTTTCTCTTTCTTTGTATTCTTTGCTAGACCAACTAGTCATGATACAGCTTAGTGGCTCCATGATTTTATTGAGCAGCAATGAGGTAATTCACGGAGAAAAGAGAGAAAGAAAAGCCAAGCCAGTGACTGTTTCTGTCAGAGAGACAATAATACAGTGAAATTTCTCAAATCCTTAGGAAATTGTTATCTGTCTTTGTATAGTGATAGGCTGAAAAGTTCACATAAGTGAAACAATCTCATTTATGCTAATAAAAGTTTGCTATTTTAATGTATGATTGTTCACTGCATTTCTCTGATTTAATGTTCACTGTCTGCTATTCTCTAGAAAAGGTATGTGAAGACCCAGCTTTGGTCCTACAGCAATTTCCATTAAATATGTTCTTTGTGTTAAAAAACTACATGTGAACCAAGCAAAAAGAACATTACATTTTCCTGAAATCAGCAATTTACCAAAAGGAATTCACACAGCTGCACTCTTTATGCTTTGCCACAACAATACACAAAAATATTTGGAGGTGAGATAAAGATCACAGGTGTAATATAGTATAGAAGAGAATGAGATGTTTTCTAGATTAATAATAATGTTGTGCTAAGCTTAATTCATTGTGATTTTTTTATATAAAAAACTTTCACCAAAAAGGGAGCGGAAAAAGGTTATCTACTTCAACCAAACAAGAATAAAGCCCAATAACAAGGTCATGTTTTTAAATAGGACATTGATCACAATTATTTACTTACTTTCTTTTTTTGGAGGAAAGGATGGGGAGAGGGAAAGGTGCACTCACTAGTGCCAAATATTCCAGATTGCAAGATTGCTTATTGTCTTGGGATGACAGGTTGTGGAATGATCTTACAAACACAAGACTTGCACACCATTCATTTTAAGGACAGAGATCTTCTTATGCAAAACTCCTATAAAATACAGTGAAAGCTTAGTTGCACAGAAGACTCATGTAATCATATACGTTGTATTGTTTCATATGATCCAGTCACTTTTGTCTCCTTCCTCCATAATAAAACATGTAGTAATTTCCGAGGATTACTTCAAGAAGTATAAGGTTCAAAGCTGGAAAAAGTCCATGGCAGCTCAGTTTGTCTGTTCAGTCTAATACTAACAAAAGCACTAATGTTTTCATGGGAGAGTAAAAATTCAGACATTGAATTCTGATTTATATTCTTGCATGCCACCAGGCAGTCCTGGTGCACCAGTAAAATAATGCCTCATTCTCTGAAGCAATTAATTCCTCAGAGTAGTGCTCTTACATTGTGGTAGACATTGATGTATTCCTTGTATATAGTATTGATTTGTCAAGGCGTTGTTGGCTGAAGCACAGACTCTTACTATGCTCTACTAATCTCATTTGAAAACAAAGCCCCCCACAACCAACCAAAAAAAAAAAAAAAAAAAAAAAACAACAAAACCAAAAAACCACCACCAAAAATAGAACAACAAACCAAAGAAACAACCAAATACACTCAAATAATCAAAATCCTACTGCTGATAGAAGCTCTGCTTGTTGAATCTAAGCAGCTTTATATGTCACATTTTTGTGTCTTATTATGTTAATCAATCCTCTTTGTTTTAGATAAATTATCTTGCCAGATATCAAGAGATTACAACAAAAGAACACATTAATTCCTAAAAAAGTACTGGGGCAAGCATGAAGTAGGCTTCCAGACAAGGAAGAATCATGAACTTAGAATATCTGATGCTCCACTCTTGAAACAGATAGTTTAAATATTTGCTTCAACAGATGCAAAACTGGAGTTATCTTCTACAGTACACTAACTGCAGGACTTCTCATTTTGTTGCTTCAATGTCATGGCACAGACAATGCTGTTAGTCTGGTACATACGTTCTAAGATATTTTCCCAGAAACATCTTCAAATACCAGAATTTCACCTAGTTCAGACCCATGTCATAGGGTTTTGATACAAATATTCTAAATAAATACATCGACAGACTTTCACTCCTTAGGTATAGCTAAGATTTTGGAACACACTGTTCTGAAGTCATCTTACTTAAGAAGCATCTCAAGTTGACAATAAATTCCCTAAATGTTTGTGCTTTCACTCATGGATGCACAGAAAGTCAATTGAAACATGATGCTGCTGAGTCCTTGAGTTTGCACATTTACATCTACCTGTATCAGTT